TGGTTCAGGGAGATGGATTCCTTAACCTCTCCAGCCACAGGAATTTGGCCAGTTTATAGTACCAGGCATGAATTCCTTCTTTTTGAGCAGGCCTTAAGTCCACTTAGACAGTTCTTGAACAAACTGCTCCCCCAAATTATGAAAGTCACAGGTAGATGGATGTAACTGGAAACAATTACCCTGACTGAGGCAACCCAGACCCAGAAGAACAAACACCTGTTCTCCTTCATAGCTGGGCGCTAGCCTTGAATTATTAGATATGCATGTTTCATTTAGGAATCCTAGAGAGGTCAGGAAACTCATAAATGGCCATGAGGGGTGGCTTCATGGGGGGGGGATAGAATGCAGTGATATAAAGAGGAAAATGGGAATAATGAGGTGGGAAGGGTTAAAGGGGTGGGGGTTGGGAGGGCAGGGCAGAGGAGGGAGTGTGGGAAGGGATGATAACACCAAAGACCTTTAGGAAAATCATATGGAAACCTACCACTACGAAGCTTCTTAAAGTCTACACATATACATTATAAAAATGGATGAAAAGGAGTTACCGTATAACAGGTGGGCATTGCCCCTACCAGACACAATAGGATAGCAAGGTAAAAACCCAAGGCCAGGAATGGACTCCCTCTTTTGAAGTTGTTGATCAGGGGTCCCAAGGACCCTCAAACAACACTGGCCATTGCCCCTGTTCTTGGTTACCCACCTGAATTTGTCAGTAAGACCCTCTCACTGTAAACATGAGCTATAGAACAAACAAAGAGAAGTCAAGCTGGTGCTGATTTCAAACCTTCATCCCTACTGGCCAGCTCTCATAGTGGTATGCATGCTACTAGAAGAGGAAATTAATCAGTCTTACCCAGCTGTGAACTCTGAAAACAAAAACACCACCAACAACAGCAACCAGCCTGAAAAGATGTGCCCACTGGTGCAATAGTGGCATGAGTATTATAGGAGTAAACAACTACTTTCTAATTGAATTTAAGGTTCATTTCCTAAGCTGGGACCCATACATGACATAGACATCAGGTCTAGGAACCTGTGGCTATACAGGTCACAGGATGTAGGGGAGAACTTAGCATTACGATTCTGCTAAATAGATATAGCATTATACAAACTCTTAATGACTTACTGTTATACCCACAGATTAATGTATCTCCCAGCTCACACCAAAGAAGGTTCCTTATGCAGCAGATGGTGATTAACACAGAGAACCAGAACTGACCAATGTGCAGAGAATGAGACTGCAGATGCTTACTCCTGACTAGGACAGCTATTTCAAACTTCTGCCTCCCAAGACACAGGGTCATCATGGAAGGGGGCAGAAGGATTGTAAGAACCAGAGGTGGTAGATGACCACAAGGAACCATGGCTTTCCAGACAGCTTGCCAAGTATATGAACTCACAGAAAGTGTGACAGCATGTACAAGTCCCATATAAGCTCAAGCCAAACAAAATCCTAGCACAGATATGGGGAAGTGGGCGGTTACTCTGACAGCTTGAGGAGGGGTCTCCCACACCTACCTGGGGTCTTTATTAGATAGTCTAAGATTCTTAGAGGGAGATTTATCACTCCTTGTGGTGTAACTCCATTTGAAATTATATTCATCTACATATACGGATACATGTGTGTGCATTATTAAGTAAGCTTATAAAGTAATGTGTCCCTATGGTTTGTTCAGACATCCTCAGTGTTGCTCATCTCCCCCCCTTCCTCTGTGTTACCCTCATTCCTCCCTCCCCAGTTAAAGTCCATCCCTGCATCTCCCATTTGCCCTTGAGAGCACCTGTGACCTCCTGCCCTCTCCTCTGAGCACCTCTCTCACCCTCCAGGGACTCTCTACTTTCATGGCTTCTGCAGTTATGGAAGTTTAGATCACCACTTATAAAGATTCAGAGCTAGGATCCATAAGTAAGAGAGAACACGCAGTGTTTGTGAGTCTGGGTTACCTGGGTTACTCAGTGTAATGTTTTCCAGTTCCATCCATTTACCTGCACATTTAATGATTTCGTATTTCATTAACAGCTTAATGGAATTCTGTTGTGCATGTGTACAACATTTTATTATCCATTCATCAGTTGAAGGACATTCAGGTTGTTTCCATTTCCTATAATTGTACGAAGAACAGCCATGAACATGGATGAGCAAGTCTCTGTTGTAGGATACTGAGTCCTTTGTGTCTATGCCAAGCAGTGGTACAGCTGGGTCATGTGATGGATCTACTTGGAGCCTCTTGAGAATTCTCCACACTGATTTCCACGGTGGCACCAGTGACCTCCCACCCGGCAGCAGTGAATGGGGGTTTCCTTTGCCCCACATCCTCGTCAGCATTTAGTGTTTTAGTGTAGGTTCTTGAGTTTAACCCTTCTGACTGGGGTAAGATGAAATTTCAAAGTAGATTTAATTTGCATTTTCCTGATGGGCCCAGGATGTTGAACACTTTTAAAGGTATTTCTAGCCATTATTACATCTCTCTGTTGAGATTCTCAGTCCATTTTTAGATCAGGTCATTTGTTTACTTGATTCTTTACTTTTGAGTTCTTTGTGCATTCTGGAAATTAATCTCCTATCAGGTGTACAGCTGGAAAAGATTCTCCCTTACTTTTTAGTTGCTTGTTTCCTTTACTGTACAGAGGTTTTCTTAGCTTTATGAGGGCCATTTAGCGATTGTTGGCTTAATTCCTGGGTGAATGGAAAGTCCTTATCGCATCTCTATCTTGTAGAGTACTGCCTATGTTTTCTTCTAACAGTTTCAGCATTTCTGATTTTACATTGAGGTCTTTGGTCAATTTAGAGGTAATTTTTTGTACAGTGTGATAGATAGAGGTCTAATTTTGCTCTTCTACATGGAGATCTACTCTCCCCAGTTGAAGATGATGTCTTTCCTCCAGTGTGTATTGTGGAATCCTTATCAAATATCAGATGGCTGTACTTATGTGTGCCTGGGTTTGGGTCTTCTATTTTGTTCCATCATCTACCTGTCTATTTTTTGTGCCAGCACCATCCTGGTTTTATAGCTCTGTAATATAGTTTGAGATCTGGTATAGTAACTCTCCCAGCATTGTTCTTTGCACTCAGGATTACATTGGCTATCAGAGGTCTTTTGTGATTCCATATAAATTTTAACATGTATTTTTTTCCTATTTCTGTAAAGAATGTTAGAGTGACCACTGATGTCTCACAGGAAAATAAAAACAAAATCAAACTGAGGAGCTGAGAATTGAGGGAAGATAAAGGACTTTGTAGTCAGTTACTGCAGGACCATTAAAAACAGTAAGAAAATAAAACAGAAGCTAACAAGTGAGATAACTAAGCAGTGTGGAGGGAAAGCCCACATGTGTGAGCGGAGGAAAAATGTGAGGAGAGTCTGCACTGGGGGTCTGAACCCAAGGGCAAAGGCCATCCCTTCACATAGCTGATATGCTCTACAGTGACATCTCTTACAAAGCCCATCAAGTCATTAGCTATGATAAAATTAGTTACATAATTCAAAGTCAACAAAGATCAGTAACACTTTTGTAATCTGTGGTCAGCTTTAACTGTCAATCAGACATAACCTAGAATCACATGGGAGAGAGTTTCAGTTGTGGAATCATCTAGATTAGCTTGGCCTGGAGGCTGCCCCTTAAGCCTCCATCCTTAGCTCACAGTGCTCACACACTTGCTGCCCTTGTCTAGCCTTGTGATGACCATGCGACTGACATTTCCAAAACACAGTCTGATCATTCCTGTGCTGGTAGCAAAACATGCACCAGAAATGAGCTTAGAAAATAAGGACGGAGAACCCCTTAGAGTAGTGACCTGTCCTAAGTGGCCAGCCGTCCACCTTTGCATCCTCTCCTGGTGTTCTGTTCCCTAGTGAGCGTGAGCCCTAGTGTCCTTTACTCATCTGAGGACAGCTTCTAGTCCTCATCAAGTCTGAGTCATGGGGTCTGGCTCGGCAGCAACCAGGGGGAATCGGCTATCACAGGGAAGGCTGCTGCTTTCTCCTGAGCCATTTCCATAGCAACAGGAGCATCAGAACATGTTTTATGACATCATATACACATTGGACCATGAGTTCAGTTAAAATGCCTTTGCATAAGAGGCTTGTATTTGGGTTAAATCTCTTATCTATCACTTTTGATACATAATGCATTAGTAGAGACGTTTGTCGAATAATGGAGTGACCGCATGCCTGATCCCTTCCTTGTAATAAGCTACATCAAATTTCACCTTGGATTTCATCTCATGTAGGAAATTTCCCTGAATTCTCCTTCTGCACTGGATTATTAGTCTTCTCACGGTCCTCATGTGATCTCAAATCATCAGGATATTAGAGATTCTGGAAGCTTCCACCAGATGCCTCACTCTTGGCCCCTGCACAGGAAAGGAGGCTTCAAATGAAGGTAGCAAATAATTGAAGTCCCTGAGTACAGTTTCTAAGATATGTCACACTGCTCCCTAGCATGAAGCAGATACAGAAAAAAGAACACTCTGCTTGCTAGCTCTGCATTGGGATAGAATGTCAAATTTATAGACACTTACATGAAATGAACAGAATTCATTCCCATGTGTCCTTCACCTGGACACAGTTCCAGTCAGTACTCTCTCATCAATTCGGCGCCTCATGACCATTTTTTCCTAAATATGATATAAATATTTTTTGGTCTTTTTGAGACAGGGTCTCCCTGTAGCCCTAGCTGACCTGGAACTCACTATTTAGACCAAGCTGATCTTAAATCCACAGAGATCCACGTGTCTCTGCCTCCTGGGTGCTGGGATTAAAGGCGTGCAAACCACCATGCCCAGCTAAATATGATGTAAATGTTTGAATGCAGAGGTAGCAGTCATTAAATTCAGGAAATATAACAAGAGAATACAATTACATAAGGATATTGAACAGATGAGGACTATATAAATGAGGGATTTTCAGCACAGTGAAATAGTTCTTGAAAATGAGAAAAGACACCATAGTGTGACCATCTGAGGAATCGTGTAAGTACAAGACCTTGAATATCATATTTGCAGAGAGAAAAGGACAGATTCCTACCCAATTCCCTACTTCATTGTTTCCTGAAAGAGAGGACTCACACCCGACATTCTCTTCAGAGCCCCTGTGACATTCTTATTCCTGAGACTATAGATCAGAGGATTTAAGAGAGGAGTGAGTATTGTGTAAAACACAGACACCACCATGTCCTTCTCAGGGGTGTGGAAGGAGGCAGGGAGCATGTAGGTGTAGACAGCGGCACCATAGAAGAGGGTGACCACGGTCATGTGGGAGGAGCAGGTGGCGAGGGCCTTCTTCCTGCCCTCTGCAGAGTTCATCCTGTGGACAGTGAGGAGGATGGACGAATAGGAACTTGAGATGACTGTGACAGGGATGACAAGCATGAGCACACAGCACAGGTACATGAGGGTCTCGTAGAGCGAGGTGTCTGAGCAGGAGAGCTTCGTTACAGCAGGGACCTCACAGAAGAAGTGGTGGATCTCCCTGGATCCACAGAAGGGGAAGGTCATGGTGATAGGGGTGAGCATGAAGCCATCCACTGATCCCAAGAGCCAGCAGACAGATGCCAGGAGGAGACAGACCCTGCGGTTCATAAGGACGGCGTAACGGAGTGGATGGCAGATGGCCACGTAGCGGTCATAGGACATGGCGGCCAGAAGAAAATATTCTGAACCTCCTAGTATCAAGTACAGGAACATCTGCATCCCACATCCAGCAGCTGAGATCTCATGGCTCCCCAGGACCTGGTCCATGAGCATCTTGGGCACAGTGACAGAAATGTACATCATGTCCATGAGAGACAACTGGCTGATGAAAAAGTACATGGGGGTGTGGAGGTGGGTGTCGGAGTGTATCAGGAGGATCAGGAGGGCATTCCCAGTCAGGGCCATCAGGAAAACCACAAAAATGACGACGCCAAGCAGCACGGGGTGTTTGGATTGACGGAAGAGTCCCACCAGGATGAAGTCTGACTGTCCAGTGTGGTTGGTCATCCAGGCAGTGATATCCATGAGGTGTCTCCTAGGCAACCGAAATAGCTTGTGGTTAGTGTCTTGAGAGCTTCCGCATAGCTACTTAATGCTGTGTGCATCAACCTGACTGTACTACCAGAAGAAGTTCTCTGGGCCTTTAGATCTGAGGGTTAAAAATTACATATAATTCAGCCTATATTTTTAAATCTAAGAAGTTACATCTTTAGTCCTTATTGGTAATTCATACAAGGTGTTGACAGTTCAAGGTCACAAACTTTCCTAATGACAGATATATCTTCTACCAAAGACTACAGACTTTCAGAAATGTGACCCATGCTAATACAAATCATGAATCGCTGACAAAAAAAAAAAAGCAAAATCCGATTTATATGAAGCAATTTGCTTTTAAGGTATGAAGTGAGTCTTGATCTCTATGGAGTAAGGATCCAAATAAGATTCTAAAAACTCCAAGGTACAGTTCATATTAAAAATACTTAGAATGTAAAGGAAGCATACTTTGGGGGGGGGTGGAAAACAGTTTCCAACATGTGAAGCCTCTGTCCCAAGGACTGGGAGGTTCTGTAATATCTGCAGAGCTCCCACCTTCAGACAAACAGCACTACACCCTCAGAGAAGGAGAGCACGGCACTATGAGTCCACTCAGCACAGACCCAGCCATGGGTACAGCTGTCCACCAGCCCTCCAGCCCTCCACCCACTGCACCTCACAGAACTTCGACTTCTTATTTGGCCAAGGTTAAATAAATCAAAACAATGAATGTCCTTAGAATACCCCAAGATAAAAATAAATAAACAGCTACCCTGTTAGAGACCATGCTAAGATTCCTGGAGAGTCATCTTGGGATGGTCACATTACCGTATTATTGAGCACATTACTTTAGTACTCCAGTTTTAGTATCTTTTAGACATTTAAAAATGTGTTTTTCACCAGGCATGGTGGCACACGCCTTTAATCCCAAGCACTTGGGAGGCAGAGGCAGGCGGATCTCTGTGAGTCAAGGCCAGCCTGATCTACATAGTGAGTTCCAGGACAGCTGGGGCTACAGAGAGACCCTGACTCAAAAAGACCAAAAAAAAAATGTGTTTTTCAAAATGATAGAGAAAAGACCTTCAAATAAGTAATCTATACAGCCAACTTTTTAAAAAGAAAGTGGATTTGAAATTTTCTATATGTATTTATAAGTAGTATAAACTTCTTTCATATAAATATGTAAAAACTTTATATTTGCATATTCATATGGGTTTATAAACATAAATAAGTACATTATATATTTATTCCTTTAACCCTGATTAGGCAGTTAGTGGGAAACCACATCTTTTTCTGGTCTCTGCTGCTCCAGGTTCATCTGCAGGTCCCACCATTTGCTCTAAGTCTCAGGAGGAAGAACAGGGCTTAGAGGTTGCTGCTGTCAACAGGCCAGGCTTTGCTTGGGTTTGCAGCATCCTCTGTTGCCTGCCATATTGACTTTTCTTGGAACCGAGAAGAGATAAGTACTAAGCAACACTGAGACGCTGCTGACCCTGCTCAGGGCTGCCTCCTCCTCCTCACACTCATAGCCGCTTCTGCGTACAACACCAGAAACAAATCAGAGACTTTAAACTTGACTGTACTTTAAGAGGTCCTGTCAGTCTATGCAGGGAAACATATAATAAGAGAAAGCCAAATGTTTAAATGGCTGAAAAATAAGAAAGAGCAGCAGGCATCCTGCCTTTCTGAAAACAGTCTGTTAGAGCTTTTACCACCTTTTCTCCTTAACCACATTGACTCTTCTCAACTTTTTGATTTCTGAAATAGCAAATGTTAAACTTTGGTACCTCCCATCAACACAGAGGAAATAACGTCTCCTCTTCCTGGGAAGACTTTAGCAGTAGTTATAAGGCAGGGATGGTCAGAAAAGAACTGCAAGTTTCATAAATATTTAAACCATTGTAATAATCCCCAAAATTAATTCTGATATTCGACTCCAAAAAGTCTCATGTTCTGCCGGAGATGCTCACAGTGTGGAAAACATTGCAAAGTTTTTGATGCCTTAGTGTAAATGATGAAAAGAATGGAACATATTGCAGAAAATGGGTGAATGGATAGAAAGCTATAGACAGACAGATGGATATAGATAGATAGATGATAGACGATAGATGATAGATGATGATAGATGATAGATTGGTAGATGATAGACAGATGATAGGTAGATAGATAGATAGATAGATAGATAGATGATAGATAGATATTCATTTTCACCTAAAGCCCTTTGGCAGATAGAGGCCAATTGATGGATGTTCATTCAATATTTAAACTTTCCAAGACTCTGCAGAGTCACCAGCTGATTTAGTTTTTATTTGTGGACACAGCGGAGCATGGAACAGGGTGGAGACCACCACATGTGATCATCTTAATGCTCTTTGATGAGTGGGTGAAGGTCAGGAGCTGGTGAAGGGTAGGAGGTGAGTTGGGAGCAGGACGCCAGGAGGACCAGGACACTGTGTCTGCACCTCACAAGAGGACAAGCAGCTTGTTCATCCTCATTCTCCACTACTAATGTGAACTCCATGTGAATGGCTGGGGGCATCTTATCACTGGGAGTTATTAGCAGTGTGGTAGAGAAATACCAAGTCATCGGCGGCCAGCAGCACCCTGAGCTCACTTCTCGTGTCTCACCACATCATCTTCCCCAGGAGCCTGTGAGTTACTCTCCGTTATCTTCCTTTCCAGAGTGAAAACAGGTCTCAGAGCTTCTATCCAACATCATATGACAAACGGACAGAAGACCTACGGACCTGTCACCACATGGGGGCCAGACTATGCCCCTGCCTCAGTCCCCTTGGGCACCCCTAGTGTAGTCTACAGTTCGGTTTAGCCCACATCCTGCCTCTTTCATCAGAAGAAACACACGAGAATATCATATAATAAATGTAATAGTGTGACTGTGGCCCCTAAATCATCCGTCTTTGAAGTAAAATCAGCATTTTCTGTGGTGCTTCTGTCCCATGTAAACGAGCGCAGCATCTGTGGCCATTTGAAAAGACTGGGCATGTACTTTTTTGCATAAATTACCAGTAATAAAAATATTCTTAATCTGTTGCATTAAATAGCATTTGAAAGTTTTTAGAAGAAAACACATCCTCTTTTCTCCAGAAACAAGTAAAGGACAGAATATAGTTGAGAACTATCAGAAAGGCAGCAAGCCTGGAGCAGGGCTGTGCCACGGAGCCTCGGTCAGGTCTGACTCACCTCGGATGCAGCTGGCAGCCGTGGCCACGTGGGCCAAGGGAAAGTGGCCTGTTAAGTGCACAAGGAACAGGAGGAAAGTGACATCATTCCTGGCTCCGGTCTCCTCATTAAGGCTGGTGATGGGTTTGTGAATAACGTTCCTTAGAGACTTTAAAGAACAGCAGTTAATAGAGCCAAAAAATTTTTTTAAATTAAAAACAAAAAGCTAATAGGCATGTCTGTTACACAGTCCGATTTTCCACTTGTGTCTATTTGTATCTCTAGGTTTTGTTAAAGTAGAATCATAACCAGTGTCAGCGATAACCTAAACCCTCACCTCTGCCAATAAAATCTCATTCATGAAATCAGGCATCAATAAATATATGATAACACTCTTGGTCACTTATCAAAGTTGATCAATCTCTCTCTCTCTCTCTCTCTCTCTTCTCTCTCTCTCTCTCATCTCTCCTCTCTCTCCCTCTCTCCCTTTCTCTCTCCTCTCTCTGTCTCTCTCTTCCTCTCTCTCTCCCCTCTCTCTCCCCCTGTGATCATATAAACTTTCTGTACCTTTTGTGACATGCTGTCTTTCACAGGGGTGTAATCTGCACCTTCTCCAGTGTGTGCAGACTGACCGACTTTCACCCGCTCCCGCCCTCCATCACACCGTCACCCTGACTCTCCACTGTCAGTCACAATCCATGTTGTTTGCTGTCGCATTTAATTTAAATTATGATTTTGATTTTATTTTATTGTTTTTATTTTATGTGTATGAGTGTATTGCCTGCATGTATGTAAGTGTGCCCGTGTCATGCAGTGCCTGTGAAGGTCAGAAGAGGGCGTCAGATTCCCCGGAACTGGAATTACAGAAGGTTGTTAGCTGCTATGTGGGTGCTGGGAGTAGAACCCAGGTCCTATTCAGGAGCAGCCAGTGCTCTTGACCACTGAACCATCTCTCCAGCCCTGGTGCTAATTACAGAAAAATCTTAATATACAAAGTACATCAATGAAAATGTAGATAAAGTTTATACTATAGTTACTTCGACAAAACTCACACCTTAAAAAGTCATACGTTGCTCAAACTGCAGACATTTGTGAAGTGTGTGAAGGATACCGATACCTCAGGGAAGCAGCTCTTATGTGAATAACGGACTCTCCTATACAGACAGAGGCAGGATTAGAACCAGAAGGCAGACCCAGCTCCAACTCTTCACCTTGAGCCACATTATTCTCTACTTCTCTGTATGCACATTCTAGATGTTTCTGATCTCTTTCCCAAGACATGGAGGTGTTCCTATTCCTACTCTTTCCCTACTATGGGGAGCTAGCCTCTGCTCAGATTTCCTAATAACAAATGGGGAAGAACTAACTGTAGAGATCACCCTGTGAATGCGGGGGGGTGGGTTTCCCTCTGCAGTGAGTCACCACAGGGTACACAGGGCTCCAGACTGCTCCCTGGCACCCATGGGCTGCTTGCTGCAGCTGCTCACCCTGTGGTGCGGCACTGAACTGCACCTGGGCTGGAGCCTCACCCAGTGAACTTTTCCATCTCGATTTCTGGACAGCTGCATCATATTTGGCTTAGAGTTCTCTGTTGCTAGTATGTTTACAGGACTTTTCATGTTATTCATGTAAGTACTGCTTCCCTGAGGTATTGGTATCCTTTACACACTTTTTTATTGAAAAGTTATCTCTATAAATATAAAAAAGGGGGATTGGGAGAGATGGCTTGGTAGTTAAGAGCACTGGCTGCTCTTGCAGAGGACTTGAGTTTGGTTCCCAGCACCCATAATGGTGTTTAACATCCATCCAAAACTCAATTTCCAGGGGATCTGATGCTCTCTTCTGACCTCCGCAGGCATTGCACAATATGGGTGTGGCTTACATATCTGTAGGCAAAAACACTCATAACACACTAACGTTTAAAAAGTTATCTTCATAGATATACAAATGTCCACCTCTAACAAATATTCAGTGTGAGTGGTATGAGGTACAGCATTTTATTTCAGTTTTTATTTTGATAATTTTTCTGTTACAGTCTTTTGAATGTTTTATTTTTGGCATATTAACTTTAAGGATTTCCTTCAGTGCTTTTGTGATTACATAACTGAACACAGTGGGTTGTGTCCCACCATCCCACCGAGCACAAAGCTCAAAATCACACCCAGTGACAAAGGCGTGAAGAAGGGTTTTTATTACCTACAGGCGGGAGAGCACAACTTGCAAAGATGGCAGTTCTCTGACAGAGAGCCGAGGAATTTAGGAAGGTGGTCTATGCACACGCATGTCCGAGAGGCCCCTTCGGGCAGGCACATTCCTGCACATGCTCAATTACATACAGCTGAGCAGGCTGTTAGGGTCATAGCCCAGAAAGACGTCAGGGGAATCACGTAAAGGTGGTGGGAGGTCCATTTCTTGGGTGCATTCAAACAGCTCACAGATGCCAAACAGGAACCGGAAATTGCTGGTTCTGTCTGTCCAACCAGAAATTGCTGGTTCTGTCTGCCCAACGTAATCAATGGGCACCAGGTAGAGTGGGGAGGGGAGAGAAAGCCACACACAAACCAGAGCAGGGTCAGCGTTCAGAAGAGGTATACCAAAGCTTCTGCACACTAACCCTTTTCCCCAGCCCCCAATCCCCCCGCAGCTTCATGGTTTCCTAGCTACCTGTGAGGGCTGAAATCCACTCACTCAAAAACAGCCCTCATGCTTCTGTTTGTGATGAAATAAAAGAATAGCTTAGAGAAGTTGAACAGACCTGCCCCGATGCCCCATACTTTTGTGGCTATCAATAATTAAAATTTATAATTAATTCTGGGACCATTTAAGCCATCCATTTCCAGTTTTATTTTAATAAATGCATTAAGAAGCAAAAGAGCATACAGAGAACGATTATCATTCCTACAAACAGAAGAAAACATATATAGGAATGAAAAATAAAGGGAAATAAAAATAATGATGTCATCACCCAATCAACTCTATAAAACAAAAATGAGTAATATACAACACTGGTTAGTTATAGAAGTTTAATAATAAGAACCAGTGAAAGAGATTCCCTACTGTTCAAAGTGCTGTAAGGAATCTTCAAGGCCTCCACAGCTTCACATACCACACAGTCACTATAGCTTTAGGGGTGGTTCCTGGGACTCAAGACTGGTTGGCTTTAAGCCAAATCCCCTTCAAATAGTCCATCTAATCACAACAGGCCCCAATCATCTGCTTCCTCCAAACAAGATTTTAGCTTTTCTTTGCATGTTGTTCTCTGCAAAAGAGAAAGATGAAGGAAACGCTCATTAAACAAACAAACAAAACGAACAAATTGGATAAAATCAAAGGAAATCAGGAGGCCTTGATAATAGCTCCAGTGTATACAGAATCTTATCAATAATTACTAAGAAGTCGAGATGGCAGGCTCTTCTATCGCCTTGGGGTGAGATGCTCTTCATTTGCAAGGGAAGCACTTTTGCTCTAGTTGGTGGGATCTGTTTCCAAATTCAGAGAAATTTCCATCACTCTCTGCAAAACACTTATCAGAAGGAAGAAAAGATTATTAGCTTGACATGCTGTGTAAGAATGTATCCTCAGACCCACGGGAAGGGCAGCAGGCGTGGGAACACCTGGTTCCATCCATGGACCATGCATGAGACAAGGCCAGCACTCTTCCTGGCAGTGATGGACAGCTCTGAGACTCACAGGTCCTCCTACATGTTAGTCAGGGCAATTGCACTCTCTCCCATTCAAACACTGAACACACGGGTCATTTCAGTCATGAAAATAACAGCGGCCAGTGCTGGGAGATCTCCAGGAAGTCTCTTCAGATCACATCACACACAACCTGAAGTAGAACCTAGTGGCAGGGTAAATTAATTTAGTGTTTTCCCCTATTTCAGAATAAAAATGCGAAGGAGACAAGAGTAAGATTTATTAAATTTACTTCCTTCTTCAAAACATTTATTATATTTAGTCTAAATATACTATATCATTATCTGGAATAGACTAACACTAAAATAAATAAACACAGCATGACTTTAATTTATATCCTGCTATGTCAGAAGAACCCATCATTTCCTGGACTTCAATATTAATTGATAATCTTTTCAGGTAGAAGTGCTGTCCAAATAGGACATAAACCAGTGCTATTTACACTGCAAACACGCTCCATTTTTTAACAGCATGTACTTACTCAGACATAAGACCCACTCGCTGCCCCATATGAACTACAGCTTGCAGGGTTTCAAAGTGAGGGAAATTAAGCTGGTTTCTGTGAGATCTGAAATCCACACAGTCTTACACAGGGTTAGGGTAAAAAAACTTTTTCTCATAAAGAATGGTTAAGTGAGCCCAGGATGGAGGAAGACAGAGGGACTTAGTGTAGTCAGCTACTGGGGTGTTCAAAAGACTCTGAGGAAATAGACATAGCTTTTCTCAGGCTCAGCCTTGATTGGAAGATGTTCCTCAGAGCCCCTGTGACATCTTTGTTTCGGAGGCTGTAAATGAGGGGGTTCAGCACAGGTGTGATGATGGTGTAAAAGGCAGACACCAAAGTGTCATGCTGGGCTGTGTGGTAGGGACTGGGGAGCGTGTAGGTATAGAGGGCCACACCAAAGAACAGCATCACTATTGTCATGTGGGAGAAGCAGGTGGCAAACGCCTTCTTGCGCCCCTCAGCTGAGTTCATCCTGAGGATGAGGCGCAGGATGAGGATGTAGGAGCCAGAAATGACCAAGATGGGGATGAGGATCATGAGGGCACAGCACAGGTACATGAGCAGCTGGTACAGGGAGATGTCAGTGCAGGAGAGCTTCAGCAGGGCGGGGGCCTCACAGAAGAAGCTTGGGACTCTCCTGGATCTACAGTAGGGGAAGCTCATGGTGATGGGAGTTATCAGCAGACCATCAACCGATCCCAGGAGCCAGCATCCGGACACCAGGATCTGGCAGACCCTCTGGTTCATCAGCAGTGGGTAATGGAGAGGTCTGCAAATGGCAGCATATCGGTCATAAGCCATGGAAGACAGGAGAAAAAATTCTGCTCCAGCCAGAGTCAGGTAGAAGAACATCTGGACCCCACAGCCTGAGGGAGAAATGGTGTGGTCTCCAGTGACCTGGCCCACAAGCATCTTGGGCCCTGTCACAGACACGTACATGAGGTCCATGAGGGACAGCTGGCTGATGAAGAAGTACATGGGGGAGCCCAGGCGCGGCTCCACGTGGATCAGGAGAATGAGGAGCCCATTCCCAGTGAGGGCCATCAGAAAGAAGATGAAGGTGACCAGGTACAGGAGAGCCGCATGCTTCGTGTCACCAAAGAGCCCCACCAGGATGAAGCTGGTGCTTGAAGTTTGATTCTCTGAGTCCATGTCTAACATGAAGCTGTCACCTGAGAAGGACATTGAGTGGGGATTTCATATATGCGACACACACAGGACTCCGAGGTTTCTTGTAGGATGTGAGCTTGGAGTGGCCTTTCCAACCATTGCCATAAACTGAGATGGAGCCAATGGTAAGTTCAAATCTCAGAGAAGTCAAGCTGATTTGACAGTAAAAATCTAAAGAAGCAGACCATGGGAGGGGACCACTTAAGAGCTGCATCAAAGAGAGCACTTATAGTCCTTTAAGGTTATTTATTTTCCCCGAACTAGAGAATGTGGAAGGAGTGGCCTCTGGATCACTTAGAGCCAAGTCTGTGACATATGTGGAATTAACCCAGTCAGGAAACTCTGGATACAGCAGCTCATACAAGACAGGAATCTTACCTGAGGCATTATCAGTATGTAACGTAACAGCACTGAAATCATAATCAAATTCCCTGATAACATGAGTTCTCTTTAGATATCTTGTAACGTCATAGCCTCCATTCCCCTCCCATCCTGCATTAACACTGTGTTCAGCACATCCAGTGGAGCTCCACAATCCTGCAGTCAGGGGCTTAGTAGCAGAGGGAGAGTGCAGCCTGTACTCAGATGGCAGAGCTGGGTGTGGACCTGCAGCAGGGCTGGACAGCAGGAGTGGGCTTCCTGCTGTGGGAATACAGACGTGGGCATTTAATTATAAATCATCCTGCAGAGAAATGGGTTTTACTAGAAACTCCAAAAGTAGAAATGCACACTCCTAAAAATCAATTGTTTTGTTGATAGTTAAATATTGTCTCCTTTTGCTAATGCAATGTTATCTCCCCAAACAGTTGCTGAGATGTCCAACCTTCCATGCACAGTGATTGACTAAATGGTATCTGATGGACCAGGTGGGGCAGTTTGATTATGGTCTCTCAAAGCTATGGCCGTACACTATAACCTCTTGACCTGAACCAACGTATGTTTACTCAGAAAACTATTTCCCCCTTCAAATCAATAGCTTTTCTTAACAACTTCTTTGTCTGAATGCAGCAATTTTTAATTTTTCAGTTGAATGACCTGAGTCACACTTGAAACAACTGTCCCACAATCCTTTAAGCTAAGGGGATAATTCTACTGTATGGAAAGGTCTGGAGCAACACTGACTTAGTAAAGATGCATCAGCCCCAGGGTCATTGTCCTCTGGGTTACAGAAATGTGCACAGAAAAGTCAGATAGTACCTGGCTCACACTGAAATGAAAAGTGAAATACACAGTACTGTGCCTGTGTAGGGATGAGAGACTCGGGAATCCAGATCCACAGCCAGAATTTCATCAGAGACCAAAAAGAATCTCATGTCTTCATTCCTTCCTTCCCACCTTCCCAAGTCACCGAAACACCTTGCCACATTCCACCCAAGAGATGATGGATCATGAGTGCAGACTGAGAACTGACTTTGCTCCTCCCCACTGAGTCCACCTGTGTCTCAGCAGCCAGGAAGACCACGTTTCCCTTCCTAAGGTCGGGAGAGTGGGTTTAAATTTAGGATGCAGTGTAGTGAGTTATAGCATCTGTTTCTGTACCCAAGGGAATTGAGAACAGTTCTGTTATTTAACCCTTCTACCTGTTCACTCAGAGTAAAGCTATGTAGCCTGCTGGTGCCAGGAGGGATTTCAGTCTCTTTATTCACTCCACAAACTTGGCACTGGCTCTTGCCCAGAGGTTCCATTTAAAGAGTCTCTTGGAAGCCGCACTTTGGTTTTGTTCCCCTGTTTTGGCTATTTTCCACTTATGTTTGCTAATTATACTGTAACTTTCCACTTTCAATAAAAACCACAGTGTTTATTGCCATTTTGGTCCTGGATGTATATCTGAAGGAGTCAAAGATTACAAAAGAGATCTCTGGGGCTGCAGAGATGGCTCAGCAGTTAACTGCACTAGCTGTTCTTGCAGAGGACCCAGGTTTGGTTCTCAGTACCCTCATGGTGGCCAAAAACCATCCATAACCCCAGTTCCAAGAGATCCGATGCCCTCTTCTGACTGCCACAGGCATTGCATAACATGGGTTCACTTACATACATGCAGGCAAGACACTTACACACATAGTAAAATGAAAAAAATAGTAAATAAAATATTTTTAAAAAGAGATTCCTGCATACCCATGTTAATTGTGGCACTATTCACAATAGCCAAGCAATGGAATTGACCTTAGTGTTCAGAAGCTGATATCTAGATAAGGAAAACACACACACACACACACACACACACACACACACGCACACACACACAGTGAAAAAGAGTGAAATTAAGTTATTTGTAAGAAAATGGATTGCTCTGGAGATCATTATGCTAAGTGAAATATGCCAGCTTAGAAATACTAATTTTTAGGGACTGTAGAAGGGACTTTGCTCTGGAGATCATTATGTTAAGTGAAATATGTCAGACTTAGAAATATTAATTTTTAGGGACCGTAGAAGGGACTTTGCAGTTAAGCGCACTGGCTGCTGTTGCAGAGGGCTTGGGTTCTGTTCCGAGCACCCACATGGCAGCTGACAGTCATTGGTAACTCCACTTCTACAGGATCCAGTGCCGTCTTCTAGCCTCTGTAGGCATTTCACCACGTGGGTTCACGTCCATGCATGCAGGCAAAACACTCAAACACAAAATAAAAAAGAAAGAAAAAAGTTTTAATTAAAAAGTACAGCAACGGGGAAAGGGGTATAAAGATGATTAAGATGTTGTGTATGAAATGCACAAAAAATCAATAATTTTTTAACTACAAAATTTAAAAAGACTGAAGTTTTGAGCAGATATCTTCAGTACATTCCACTCAACAGAAAGCGAATATATACACACTTCTCAGGAGCCCATGGAACCTTCTCTACAATAGATCATATTCTGGGCCACAAACCAAGTCTTAACAAATACAATTGAAATCATCTCTTCTATCTTATCATATCATGGTGCAACAAAACCAGAAATAAATATCAAGAAAAACTACAGAAGCTATGTAAATATGCAGAGACTGAACAAGACACTCTTGAGTGACCAGTGACTCGCTGAGGGAATAAAGGAGGACTTGGCATTCCCTGAAACTGATTAAGATGAAAGCTTAGCTCTGCAGAATCCTTGGGATGCTGTGAAGGCAGCTGTAAGAAGAACATGTATAGCTGCATGTGCTTGCATTAAGACTAAGAACTCAGAAATATCTCAAATCCGTGACCTAACAACGTACTTCAGGATCCTAGAAAATCAAGAGCCATCCAAGCAACTAGCAGTAGATGGTAATAAATAATAAAGATCATGGCAGAGGTTCATGAAATGGAAACCAAAAGAAAAATATACAGAACTGATCAGAGCTGAAGAACAGGACTGACTACGCTCCCCTCTTCAACTCCCCTTTCCAAGGCGGCCAGGTTTGGGGATCTCTGTGTCAGTATCCTGTGAGCTGGGAATGTGCTGCATTGTCTGATTGTATCTTTTGCTTCTCAGTCCACAGGCAGCCACAGTGGCCTGGCCTCGAGCTCCTCTGCTTGCGCAGTTTCCTTCTTTTATTTATTTTTTTTCTTTATCGACCTGAGACTAATCACAATATTGCCTTGAGTTTTGTCTTCTGTTTGTTCATTTGCTTTGTTTTCCATTCCCACTCATGCCCACAGAAACTTGCTTGTTAGTGCACGGAGCACTGTCAGTGCCCCTTTATTTCCTAAAATGAGTGCTACAGAAGAGGTCATTATTTCTTAATTTGACTATTGCTGTAATTTCATAATGGGCCTATCCTTTGATAGCGGTTGCTTTTGCGGACACTTCTAATTTCAGAAGATTATTGGTGATCAAGGCTGGTGCCCTGATTGCCATTCTAAAAGAGGAAAAAGACACTCATGGCTCAGAGAACATCATGGAATAAGGGACAGAAATATTGCAAGAACCAGAGGCCTAGAATATCTGCTGCTAGATCGTGTCTTCCAGATGTGACAGAACTGTGCCCATGAAATCTCAGCAATGTGGTCGCCTAAACAAGACCTACATAATGACAATTCCAGTTGACATGCCAACATGGATGGAGGAAATTTCACAAGGCCCCACCTCTTGTTGAAGAGCTACAAGCAATCAATGTCTGTTGAGAGAGAGAGAATCATTGTTCTCCAGGGGTGTGCTGGATAGCTTCTGTTGTTAACTTGACACACCTAGGAAGAGGAAGCCTCAACTGAGGCGTTTCCAACATTGGATTGGCTCTGACCATGTCTGTGAGACATTTTAATTGCTCATTGATGTGGGAGGGCCCAGCCTATTGTGGGCAGTGCCATCCTTGGGCAGGTGGTTCTAGGTTGTATAAGAAAGTGTGCAGAGCACAGACCAGAGGAGCAAGCCAGTAAGCAGCACTCCTCCGTGGTCTGCTTCGGCTCCTGCTTCCGGGTCGCTGCGCTGAGTCCCCTGACTTCCCCCAATGATGAACTGTGATTGGGACATTAAGCAAAATAAACTCCTTCTCTGAGTTGGTTTTGGTCAGTCTTTTTATCACAACAATAGAAAACTAACTAAAATAAGGGATAAGGTCCCTGATAAGTTATCCAATCTCAAGTGCTCAGCCCTAAATACAAGCAGCACCAAATGGACTCAGCAGGTTTTCTGTATGTATATAGATGATAGATGATGATGATAGATAGATAGATAGATAGATATGCTCACACAGGTAGCCCTGGTTAGATTCAGTGTGTCACCAAGAAAAACCCAATCAATACAAAAAGAATTGAAAGTGGGATGGGGACTTGGTGGGAGAAGGGGAAGAGAGGGTGGAGGGCATAGTGTGACCATAATGTGAGATGATAAGATGATAGATATAGATAGATGATAGATAGATGATTGAAAGATACATAGATAGATAGATTAGATATAGATAGATGATAGATTAGATGATAGAGTGATAGATGATAGATGATAGGTATATGATAGATGATAGATAGATGATAGATAGATAGATGGATAGATGACACTCATATGTATATATGTAACCATTGATAATTTAAAAAGAGATCATGAAATTGGGAGGGAGTAGAGG